CAAAGCATCGCAGGTTTGATTCCCAGTCAGGGCACATGCCAGGGTTGCAGGCCACGACCCCCAGCAACCGCACATTGATGTTTCTCTCTTCTCTCTCTTTCTCCCTCCCTTCCTTCTCTAAAAATAAGTAAATAACATCTTTTTTTTAAAAAAAAAAAGAATTACTTTCTGCCCTGGCTGGCATAGCTCAGTGGATTATGCGCAGACTGGGAACCAAAGTGTCCCAGGTTCGATTCCCAGCCAGGGTACATGCCTGGGTTGCAGGCCATAACCCCCAGCAACCGCACATTGATGTTTCTCTCTCTCTCTGTCTATCTCCCTCCCTTCCCCTCTAAAAATAAACAAATAAAATCTTTAAAAAAAGAATTACTTTCTGTTCCTAATCAATTAAAAAAAACTAGGGGTAGGGTGGTAATGGGAGGGAAGAGGGGAGGGTTGGGTGGGTGGGATGGAATGGGAGTAAAAGGGAGACAACTGTACTTGAACAATGATTAAAATAAAATTAAAAAAAACTAATAAAAAAATAAAACTAAAAAAAAAAAAGAAGTGGGCTAAGGACCAGAATATATATTTCTAAAAATACATAAAAATGACCAACAGGTGTATGAAAAGGTGCTCCACATCACCAATCAGAAAAATGAAAATCAAAACCACAATGATCTCACCTTACATACGTGAGGATGGCCATTGTTAAAAAGACAACAGATAAGAGCCTTGACTGGTGTGGTTCAGTGGGTTGGGTATCATCTTACAAACCAAAAGGTCAGGGGTTTGATTCCCAATCAGGGCACATGCCTGGGTTGTGGAGCAGGTCCCCAGTTCAAGGTGTGGAAGAGGTAACCAATCAATGTTTCTCTCCCTCTTTCTCCTTTCCTTCCCCTCTCTCTAAAAATAAATAAATAAAATATTTTTTAAAAAGACAAGAGATAATAAATATTGGCAAGAATGTAAATTGGTACAGCCACTGTGGAAGACATTATGTAGGTTTCTCAAAAAATTAAAAAGACAGTCCTGGCTGGTGTGGCTCAGTGGATGAGGTGCTGGCCTGAGAACCAAAAGGTCTGGGTTCTGGGCCAGGTCCCCAGTTGGAGGCAAGCAAGGGGCGACTAATCAAGGTATCTCTCACACATGAATTTATCTCACATACATTGATATTTTCCTCTCTTTCTCCCTCCCTCACCCTCTCTCTAAAAATAAATAAGCAAAATGTTTAAAGAAGGTCCCTTTGAAAAAAATTAAAAGTACAATTACCATATGATTCAGCATTTCCACTTCTGGGTATATATCCAAAAGAAATGAAATTACTATCTGAAACAGGTATCTTGCACTCCCATGTTCATTGCAGCATTATTCACAATAGTCAAGATATAAAAATCACTGAAGTGTCAGTTGATGGATGAGTAAGGAAAATGTTCATTTTCTCTATACACATACATACACATACAGGGTGGGGTAAAAGTAGGTTTATTGCTGTGAGTATGTGAACCACAGAGTTTGTTCTTGTATTATTATTTATTAATTATTTTCCACATGAACAACTGTAAACCTATTTTTGCTCCACCCTGGAGAAAGGGGGGAGGGGAATATATTACTCAGTTTTAAAAAAGAAAGAAGGAATCCTATTCATGACAAAGTAATGAACGTGGAAGCCATTATTCTATGCGAAATAAGTCAGACAGAAAAGGACAAACGCTGCATGATCTCACACAGGTGGAATCTAAAAATATCAAGTTCATAAAAGCAGACTGGGATGGTGGTTGCCAGGAGCTGAAGTGTGGAAAAAATGAGGAGATGGTGGGCAAAGGGTAAAATGTTTCAGTAATGTGGGATGAATAAGTACTGGGGATCTAATGTACAGCATGGTGACTATAGTTAATCATACTCTATTATATACAAGGGGGGACCCAAAAAACAATTTATTTATAAAAATTTGTGTATTCATTGTTACATGTTTAAACTTCAGTCACCTTCAAAGTTCTCTCCATTTGATGCAACACAACTATCAAGATTTTTTTTCCACTGCTCAAAACAGTCTTTGAACTCCTCTATTTTGATACCTTTTAGTGCTTCTGTTTTTTTGTCTGTTTGTTTCACCTGTTCCACATTGGCTAAACATTTCCCTTTGAGGACTTTTTTCATCTGGGGAAATAAAAAAGGGTTGCTTGAGGCAAGATAGGATAAATAGGGAGGGTGGGGCACAAGGGTCATTGCCATTTTTGGTCAAAAACTTCTGAATGCTTAGTGTGGTGTGAGCAGGTAAATCACCCACCATGAAATGGGCAAATGCATCAAAACAGTCTTCAAAAACATTCCACTGAAGCCAAACACAGCCTCTCACAACAATGTGAGAGGGTACACTGGTACAGAGGGGTTCCTAGAACACTGAGCTGGTAAGGGGAAGCCTGTGCTGCAAGTGGCTCACTCTCCAGAAGATAATTCTGGGTTTTTTTGGTACCCGCCCCTCCCCGTACTTGAAATTTGCTAAGAGAGTTAACCTTATGTGTTCTCACAACACGCAAAAAATGGTAACCATGTGAGTTGATGGATATGCTAATTAGCTACTTATAATTATTTCACAATGTATATGCATATTTAACATCACAGTGTGCACTTCAAACCCAATTTTTTGTTTGTCAAGCAGAGTTCAATAAAGCTGGAAGAATAAAATTAAATTTTATAAAAAGGCACTTCCCTTTCTCTCATTGATACTGCAAACTTTTATTTATTTGTCTGTAGAAAAATGGACGAATTACAGGATAATAAATGCATTATGATTTTTTTAAATATCCCATTCATAGCAGCATGCAAATCTAAAAATTACCTAAGAAACGTCACAAAAATGTCCACAATTGTTATGGATGCAACTATAAAATTTTCCTGATAGATTGAGATTATTGGAAATATGTCAATTGTCCTCAAATAATTTAGATTTATTGCCTTACCTGCATGTGCCAAGATGACAAGCTTGGGCTGCTGTCTTCTACTCTTGGTTTGAGGTGGATGAACTGTGGTCTGCAGAGGTAGAAGGACAACTCAGGGCCAGGAGTCAATGCATGGCAATGATTCTGAAGGACTAAGGACCCCCACCACAGAAGAGAATTCTCCCCCAGCCCATCCTACCCCAGCTGTTAGGCATGGGAGACCTTGGGACATGATGGCAAGATGTTGTAGACCTTGACTTTCACCAGGAGAGGGGGTACATTTCTAGGGAGGTGATGCCTTTGATATCATGGGACAAAACTCAGATCAGCAGAGTAAGTAATCCTAGGCTCTGCCAGATGTAAAAGTGAGAACTTTATGGAGGGCTGAATTGGCCACCCAACCCAGACAGAGAGGCTCCACAGAGGTGTAGGCCTGCTTTCAGCCCTGGGAGGCCGCAGGCAGGACTGTCAGAAACAGGCCACATCACCCACACTCTGTATTTTTGTGATGTGCTTTTCAGTGAGATAGGGGTTTAAGGCAGAGGGGGCAGGCTCTGTCAGAAAATATGAATACCTTTTGGAGGATAGGGTAACACCCAACCCAGAACACATAAGGAGCCACACAGAAACCTACCTTGTCTTTACTGTCAGTCTAGTAGACTCCATGCAGGCTTGTCGGGCTGATGACCCACCTCTCTTCCATTTTGATTATCTGGGTGAAGTAAGGGTCTTGATGTGAGGGGTTGAGGCCTCAGGTTGGTAGAGGGGGAAAGGGGAGGGCTCAAGCAGAAGTCAAGGCAAAGACTGAAGGATTTTCCCATCTCACATAGAGTGGCATCCAACCCCACTATGCTCCTAGGAGCCCTGGGAAATGCAAAGCATTGTACCCGGGTGTGTTGTAGCCTGACTTTTACTTTGGGAATCTGTGGGAGGCAAGGTTTCCTCTGAGGCGCCCGGACTCAGGTCAGCAGAGGGAGGAGTCTCAGGCCCCGCAGGCTTCAAGGGGAGGCTCCAGAGGGGAGGGGTGATGTAACCTCCTACCATAGATAAAAGGGGCCTCAGCCCGAGGCTCTGCCCCTTCAGTCATTCCTGCAGATCAGAGACAGAGTTGGAGTAAGTGAGGTAGAGAAACTTCTGGCCTAAGGAGTCTGAGGAACCAGAAGCTTCAGACTGGATTTAGATCAGCAGAAGGAGGGAGTACGTGGACCTGCTAAGCCTTAAGGTAAGGACTCTGAGAAAGGACTAAACGGAGTTCTCATCGCTAAGAGAAGATGCCCCAGCCCCCACCCTGCCCTTGTTATCTGCCCTGCAAATTGTTGTCCGGACTCCATCTTGGGAGTTTGAGGGACAGCCATCTTGGCAGTTTGAGGGGAGGCTTTTTCTCAGACGTGAATATGTGAGTACTTGGCTCCGTAGACAGAGGTGTCCCAGGCTCTGCGAGATTTTAAGGAGAGGCCCTTTATGGAGGACTGATGGGACCTCCTATCGTAGAGAAAAAAAGCTCACAGAACACTTTCCTACTCTCAGCCTTTAACTCAACCTCATACAAGTTAGGCAGACGTGCTGACTGCGATGCTCTGTACTTCCTTGTGGGTGTTTTAGGGGTGATAGGAGCCTTGCTCAGGGCCGCATTTTCGGGTCTGCATAAGGGAGAGGTTAAGAATTCCCTGTCAGAAGTAAATGTGAATTCCTTGGGGAGGAGGATGGGGCATACCACAGAACCCAGCGTAATCTCCACAGAAATTCACCCCAATTCCTCCGTCAGCCTTTGGGGGCCCAGGGAAATGCTGTCAGGCTGAACCTCCCTTTCCCCCTCCATTCGCAAATCAGGGATCTCGGGGAGTTCTTGGCCTTTGTCTAAATGGCCCATCTGTGAGGATCAGAGGGAAGAGTACTAGGCCCTCTAGGTACAGCTGAGAGGATAGAGAGGGACCCACAGAGACCTGCCCTTTCTCACAGCTGAGAGGACCCGGGAAGGGCTATTTTGTTTCTCATATGCTTCCTCTCTCCCTCAGGCCACTGGCCCCAACACCCACTTCCAGCTCACATTCCTGCCTGCTGCTCCCAAAACAAGACATCATGCCTGGCAGTGGAAAGAGTCAGTTCCAGGAGCCTCAAGAATGCCCTGAGGCTCAAAAAGAGGCTCCAGGCCCGGTAGCTGCACAGGTTCCTGTAACTGAGGAGGAAGATTCCTCCTCCTCTCTTTCTCCTTTGATCCCGGAGACCACAAAGATTGTGCTTGCTGCTGGAATATCAAGTGTTCCCCAGACTTCCCAGGGAGCCTGCTCCTTCCCCCCTGCCACTGAAGCCATTCCATCAGGCAAATCAAATGAGGGCTCCAGCAGGCAAGAGGGTCCAAGCACCTCACCGGCTCCACCAAATCCGGAGTCCCTGTGCACAGGAGGGCTGCAAAAGAAGGTGGCTGAATTGGTGAAATACCTGAGTATCAAGTATGTATCACAGGAGCCTATCACAGAGGCAGAAATACTGGAGAATGTCATGAAAGAGCACAAGGATCACTTCCCTGACATCTTCAAGAAAGTCTGTGAGTGCATGGCAGTTGTTTTTGGCATTGAAGTGAAGGAAGTGGACCCCACCAGCCACACCTATGTGCTTGTCAAAATACTAGACCTCACCTATGATGGGATAGTTAGTGATGACCAGGGCATGCCCAAGACTGGCTTCCTGATACTGATCTTGGGCATAATCTTTATGGAGGGTAACCGTGCCCCAGAAGAGAGAATCTGGGAAGTGCTGAATATGATTGGGGTGTATGCTGGGAGGGAGGATTTCATCTATGGGGAACCCAGGAAACTCATTACCAAAGATTTAGTGCAGGAAAAGTACCTGGAGTGCCAGCAGGTACCCAACAGTGATCCTCCACGCTACGAGTTCCTGTGGGGTCCAAGAGCCTATGCTGAAACCACCAAGATGAAAGTCCTTGAGTTTTTCACCAGGGTCACTGGGACTGACCCCACTGCCTTCCCACGCTGGTATGAGGATGCTTTGAAAGATGAGAGACAGCGAGCTGAGGCCAGTGCTGCCACCGGTGGTGGTACTACCACAATAGCTAGTGAAAGTTCCAGTATCATGTCCAGCAGCTTCAGTCCTGAGTAAAGTTTGAGGCAGTTTCTCCAGTTTTTGAAGAGGGAAATCAAGACTCCATGTGGTGGAGTGTTGAATTGCAGATTTTACCTTTTTATTTTTTAGGCTATATTTCAAATGTTCTTTCTCTTAAAAGATTAGCTTCAGAGTTTAGGTTTGTGAATGATATTGGCCATGTATTTAGTGCTGTTTAACAGGTTTAAGGATAAGAATTTTGCTGCTCTGTAAAATAAAATGGGGAACCTTACATCTCATTTTGTGATCAGCAAGATAACATGGCATTGGAATAGGAACAATGTAAAAGCATGCAGCAATAAAAAAGATGAGATAAAGAAATTGGGAGAAAATGTACAAGATGGTTCCCCTAGGGTTCTTGTATCTTAGTTTGCTGTTTTGTAAAATTAAAGCTATACCTGGCTTGGCTTTGCCAATTAAAGAATGTGTGCAAAATTAAATCTTTATAAATGAGAGTACCGATTCAATCAATGGCTCATTTATTATTATAGGTGTGTCTTACAGGTTAGAAAAAAAGCCTAGGATGGAAAACTGCTCTTAAATGTTCCTTTAGGATCATGAATAAACCAGAGAAATCCCCACCTGGAGCAGGTGTGGAAAGTGTCCTGTGCCCTTGTCCCCATGCCTCTGAACACTGCACAAACTAAGTGCTCTAATACACTATGTCTGCAAGGATTATCTGACAACAGAGTGATATTTCTTTGAAGTGGTGCCCAGAGGCTGGCACTTTTTCCCTGGCCTAGGACAGCCAGAGCCTACTCCATTGAAAGGAAATTTTAATTATGCTATCTTGAGTGTAATTTGGCCAGCTCTCAGCAAAGGCAAGATTTTGGGTGGGGTGAAATGAATGTAAATAGTGGTTTATAGGGAAGAGCAGCTGGGGAGAGGAAAGGAGTTAGTCTTTGACTCAAATTCTAGGAATTTTGAGTTGCATTCCACTGGGGAAGACTTCCTCATATTCAAATTAAATAATACAGCCACTAATAGAAAATTCAGCGAGTCTTATGTACAAAGTTGCGTTTCTGGCTCACTAGGTATCTTGTGCCATAGAGTGCTGCATGTTCTCTGAAATGTCATCACACACACACAATCACAGGGAAGCGAGTGAGAGGCTGGGTTCAAAATTATATTAGAAATTCTGTTTTTCATTAAAGATCCAATCAATGTCAGGCACTATCCAGATGCTTCACTTACATTATATACCAGTCCAAGTCAGGGCTTACCACACCCATATCAGGAATTAAGAACCTGAGACTCGTAGTAGTTGGCAATTTGCCCAATATCATAGTGCCCGATGGAGTGACAGGACTAGTACAGTACTAGAACTCAGTCCTCAATTCATCTAGGCCCAGAGTATTTCTACTCATCATAGCCTGAGGCAGATCTTTTGTTTCTTTGTTCATATACCTTCTCAGTATTCCAAGTTTTCCAGGCAACAAAAACAAGGGCCCAGTTGCCAAGATACTAAAAGCAGGCCTGAAGAAGAAAGGTGAGCCTTGACTCATGTAGCTCAGTGGATTGAGCACAGGCCTGTAAACCAAAGGGTCCCTCATTCGATTCCCAGTCAGGGCACATACTTGGATTGCGGACCAGGTCCCTAGTTGGGGGTTATGTGAGGGGCAACCACACTATGATATTTCTCTCCCTCTTTCTCCTTCCCTTCCCCTCTCTCTAAAAAACAAATAAATAAAATATTTTTTAAAAATAAATAAGCTAACAAAAAGAAGCAAACGCCATTTGGGGATTATCTGTAGGCTTTATTTACCTAGGGTCCTCCTGCCTGAGCCCCAGGGCTCCTTGACAGTGGACTCTGGGTAGGTGTTGTCATTTTTATCCAGTCCCAGTAGTTTCCTGCATTACAGGCACCTTTCTCCAACTCTTCCTCCATGTCTCCTCCTGTCCAGCTAGGCACCCTGGCATACTGACCAGCTTGCCACTTCCTCTTCCTTTGAAGCCTATGTATCCTGCTCCCAGAGAAACAACCCAAATTTTCTGCCTTACCCCTCACATTGAGCATTCCTACTCCCTGCAGAAGTCTCTTGGCATCTCTTTCTAGGGTCACAATAGAAAGTGCATTTTGGAGGATGTTTAGATGCCTGGGCATATCTCCTGGCATCTTCAATACATCCTCAAATTGTTTTCCCATTTGAAATCACAGTATAAGCAAACATCTACAAGGGCTGAATTCTTAAAGCCCTGGAGTCCTCTTAGGAGATAAAACAATGGTTGCTTAGTTGACATATTAACTCTGATTTAAAAAGAAAAAAATAGTTAACCATCCTTCTACTGCCTCTTGTATGTATATCTGCTCCACAGGAATATCCTGTTTCCCAGTATGCCTGATGACATCTATACAGATATTTGGGAATGCTCAGTCATGTGGATTGTACCAAAGACTCACAAATTAACATTTTTATTTTGCATCATAAGGAAGGGAAGACTTCTCAGGCTACTGAGATTATAGAGATTATTGCAAAGGGCAGTGCAGGACTCCCTGCTAAGATTTACAGGATCCTTTGAAAACAAGATGTGGTCCTATATTTGAAAGCACCAGTCACATAGTAGGCACTTGAAAAGTTGGTGAATTTCAAAGAAAAAATGGTTTTCTCAGAAACTCCAAGAAATGAAGAGGGTTGTTGTCATAACATTATAATAGTAGCTTTTTATTGAGCACCTACTATATGACAGTTTATAGAAGACACTACAAGTGCTCATTCACATCTTGTCTTTCCCTCCTTCCTGGAACATACATTTGTAGTTAGGCAGGAGCCAGTATGTAATTTCCATGCTGCCTTTGCCATTCAGCAGCAAACATAGAGCCCCCGTGTTGAGACAGTGGAGCTACAAGGTAGAAGCAACCAGGATCCCTGATTTGCCTGAGAGCAAAAAGTCTCTGCCAACAAAAATCAGAATGCATGTGAACAGAAACAAAAAATGTGTTGTGTTAAACCATTTAAATTTAAGCATTTGTCTGTTGCATAAGTGAACAGTTTCTTTAACTAATTAATGCCCAGCCCTTATTCCTGTTCTTAGGCTTATTTAAATATTTTAATTACAAAAGTAATTGTGCATATATACTTACCACAAAACATTCTAAAAATAGAGATCAATTACTATTCTCCTCTTTACAAAGTTGTTCCCCACCAATTCAGCCCTATCCTCAGAGGTAACTAGGAGCAACAATCTGATGTGTATTATTATTATTATTTTTAAAGATTTTATTTATTTTTAGAGAGGGAAGGGAGGAAGATAGAGAGAGAGAGAGAAACATCAATGTGCGGTTGCTGGGGGTTATGGCCTGCAACCCAGGAATGTACCCTGGCTGGGAATCGAACCTGGGACACTTTGGTTCCCAGCCCGCGCTCAATCCACTGAGCTACGCCAGCCAGGGCTTTTTTTTTTATGTGTATTATTATTTTAAAGCTGATTTTAGGCTTTTCCATATATGCCATAAAATATATATTGTATTTTTTACATGCATGGGTAATGAAATACATATTCATCTGACATTTGCTTTTGTCACTTAATAAAATGGATCTGAGGTCTTTCCATGACAGCACATGTAGATCTACCTCACTTTAGTAACTACTCCCTAGAATTCTGAAGTACATATATGCCATAATTAATTAAACACTTCTCCTCCTGATAAATACACATTTCCCAATTTTATTTGAGTAATATAATTTAAATCAAAATTTTTGTACTTGAATCCTTAGGCAAAAGTGTGCATTTTCTCATAAGAAAGACATTTTGATATAGAATCTTGGCTTATTTGAAACAGACCACTGATCACTACTGAAAGGGCATATTTTAAATTTTTGTAAAGATTGCTAAAATCCTAGCCTGTAAATGTTATAACAATCAATTTTCTCATTAACTAATGTATTTTAATAACCTACATGGTCAGAACCATTTTATATTATTCCTATTTCAAATTTGGGGGAAAATTACGAGTAAAAATATATTGTCTCACTATTCTTTTAATTTGTATCTCCCATTTTCTTGTTAGGTTAAGCAAAAAATTAACTTAATCCCTCACCCATATAAAGCTGTATTTATTTGGGTCTTTTTTCTATAAAGGCAGAAAATTCAGGCATGTGGTAGGCTCCACATTTTGAATCAGCAAATGTGAGTCTCTGGTACTTAGTTTCATTCATTCATTCATTCATCCATTCAGCTAACATTTATTGAACGCATGCTCAAGAAAATCAAAAGAAGATGACAATGCACTTAATTCAGACTGGAGATTAGGTTAGGTTGCATCAATAGAGGTCATTTGAGGTCACAGGTTTAGATAAAATTGAGGTATATAGAGCAGACATCTCTCCTGCAAATCAAAATCACACAATACTTGATTAATCCAAGGGGAAAAAATTAAAGGGAGAAGTAACTCACCAAAAAATCCACCAATCAAAGAAAAATTTTCCATTTCCATATATATGTATACACACATATATATGCTTGTGAGCATGTCTGTGTATTTATAGTTCATATTATACATACAGTTAATATATTGTGAATATCTCAGCTCCCTTTTATGAAGCTACTTTTGGCATCCTTTATCCAACTCTGAGCTTACACCCACCAATACCCAGACATATCTCCTCTAACCTCACGTCTGTTTTAGGCAGCTGGCATGTCTGCAGTAACTACTTTCTCATCACAAACAGAAAAAGACATTGGAGGTCTCAGATAATTGGAGGCTGAAATTCCATAATGCCTCCTATACTTAAATGGTAGAGATGGATTGCCAAAATTTTAGATGTGGACATCATGTTCCAACTGAAGCTTTTGGAGAAACTGAATCCACAAACATGAGCAAGGCAGAGCAATTTGGTTGAAGTGAAGACTGTAATTCCCGAGTCCTGCTCACTCGGTACCCTTTCTTCTCCCTCAGGGGCAGTGGCCCTGGCACATGACCACAGAACTCCAGGGTTTCTCCTGAGCACTGCTGGGAAAGCTATGTCAGAAGGCCTTTCTTTCCTCAGCCATGGACT